GAGACGGACACCAGTATGAAAGAAGAAACGTCCAGTAAAATTAAGAGACTTTGTTGTATTTTAATTTTGTGTTTGTAAATACTGTACATTTAATGAAGTTATTGTTAATTATCTATTGGTTTAATGTAAGTGGCTATTGTTCGGGATGAACAATACTAAGAAAGGGGCAGTGCTACGACAGCAGAAGTCACGTGATGCTGATGAGTTTCTCGAATGATCGGGGAAGTCCAAATGTGTTTGAGATGCCTTCTTCATTAGTATATAATCCTGGCAGAAAAATCTAGTGGAGACTATAAATGAAGAGAGATCAGTAATTAAATTGAGTTCTGTGTAATTTATGATTCAGTTAGTTTCAAGCTAGTGAGCTGTAAAGTGTGTGTTTCACACTCGTCGAGAGCAAAGTTATTGAGATTGTGATTCGCTGTGATTTATTGCGTGTATTATAAAAATTGTTAAGTGATGAGAAACGTACTGATTGCGGAACTATTGTGTACTAAAAGTTTGTATCGAATAAGAATAAATTGGTTTAATCAAGAAAAGAACTTGTATCACTGAAGATCCTGGGAAAGAATTTCTACTGGAAACAAAGAAACAAGCAGATACATAACAATAGTAAAATGATTTTGAACCCTCACCATGTCGTTAGAGTACATGTTACCATGTCTGGTCATGCATTATCAAATGATCGTTCATCTTGCAGTGTGATTTCCATTTGTTACATATTAAAATTTAGAATGGTCTAAAACTGAGTTAAATGATAATTTAAATTTATTAGTTAGATATATGCCAATATCTCCAATTTATGATATTTGCCAACAAGATTGATATACACAGTTTTCTTTTTTAATACAAATATGTTTTAATATACAAACAATGATTTATAAACAAAAGTTTCACAAACTTACATGTAATATAAAATACTTTCTGATCTGAAACTTCTTTTATATCTTATTGAGGGCTCACGATGAGCGAGTTAATTACAAGTTAATGTAGGTACGATTTGCTTAATGGGGAGCTAGCTAGCTTTGTCCTTCGTTATTCACCAGCAACACACGCTGAGTGAATGTTTTCGTAAAAATACTAATGTCCGATGAGAATCCACTGAAGTTAAATGATTTGTAATGTCCGAACTTTGTATATGCTCCTGATCAGATATCTTAAGT